TGGCATACCTTTTCCTTAGGCAACTTTTGTGTGAAATAGACTTTCATTGGAGAGCTGTTAAATGTCTTCGAAGTATGACTGAATAACAGAAAGCCTTGAGAGTTTGGTTTATTCTGGGAGTGATGTGGAATCCTTTTTCCGATGTGATCACTGGTGACTTTACACTTCCTTGTTTTGGCTCTCTGCCATCTGTATCAGTTAGGATAGGGTCGGTTATGCTGTGGCAGGACGTGTCCACTAGCATCTCGGTGGCTGAAAACAAGGCTATTTCCTGCTCTCCTTACATGGCCATTGTGGGTTGGAAGGGGGTCTGCCTCTCGTAGACACTTAGGGTCCCAGGGTGATGGCATCTCCCCTCTCCATCAGCTTCCACATTCACCGTAGCCGGGGGAGGGGAACAAGGTGAATCTAGATCTGGCTCTTAAAGCTTCCGTCCAGCAGTGACACCTATTGCTTCTACTGATATTTCATTGGCCAAAGAAAGTCACATGACTACACCTAACTTCCAAGTGGTTGGGGACATTCAATCCCATGCTGAGCCTAGAAGAAAGAGAAGAGAAATATTAGTGAACTATCTTATAAGTACTCTATCCATTAAACATACCAACACAGGAGAGGGATTTCTTTGTTGATGGTAATTCGTGCTGCCAGTGTGGATTTCTCTACTCCAGACATTTCTACATTGGTGGAAAAGTGTTGTCCCATAGCTTCACAGTAGGCCCCATGAATTGAAACTCCTGCGTCCTTGGAAGCTTAGGACACAGCAGCCTCAAGACTGTTGACACTTTGGAATGATTTTAGTGACAAAGACGGGGATGAAAATAATAGTGAAGCACAGAAACTCCCCCATGGAGAGAAATGTGTCCCTGAAGTGGTTGCTTTAACTTCATTTCTCTTTCTTTCTTTTAAATGTGCTTTCAAGTCTTCATCAAAGAACAACATTGTTGTGATTCAGATTAATTAACATTTGATGGATGGGAATTAAGACTCAAGATTGGTAGAGTAGACTTTTTAAGTCTCTAATATAGAAGTTAAAGCTTTCACGCATATTTTGGGATTTGAGTACAATCACTACCACCACCACCGCCGCCATTGCCATGATCACGACCGCCACCGTCCTCACCGTCACCGTCACCATGGCCATCGTCACTGTCACTACCTCCTCCATCACCATTATCGTCTTCACAACGACCGCCATTACTACCACCACCATCACCGCCACGGTTATTACCATCACCATCACCACCACCACCACCACCACCATCACCACCAGCACCACCCTCAGCTCCACCATTATTGCCATCACCAAACCACCACCACCACCAATGCCACCAGCACCACCACCCTCACCACTACCATTATTGGCCTCACCATCACTACCTGTCACCACCATCACCACCACCACCTCCTCCATCACCACCACCACCACCAACACCAACACCACCCTCACCTCCACCATTATTGCCATCACCAAATCACCACCACCACCAACACCACCAGCACCACCACCCTCACCACCACCATTATTGCCATCACCGTCATTACCTGTCACCACCATCACCACCACCACCACCAGCACCACCACCACCATCGCCACCACCACCCTCACCACCACCATTGTTGGCATCACCATCACTACCTGTCACCACCACCACCATCCTCACTACCACCAGCACCAATACCTTCACCACCATCACGACTACCACGATCTATCGCACACCTGTTTTTTTTCCAGACTCGCCTGGGGACTGTCAAATTAGGTAAGCTTGTCAACAATTAAGTTTGTTTTTCTCTGCATGTTGCATAATCCAGCACTTCTAACTCCTTTCCTATCTATGGCACTCAGGGGTACCCCTTTGAAGTGCAAAGATGGGGTCAGGATTTCCAAAGATAGGGCTATATTTCTTTCTGCCATATTCTGCTCAGCAACACGCATGGAGGAGCTCTAGCTTCTAAGAACCAGTCCAAAACACGGTGACACATTTACCAAATCAGCAAATTTGGCAGAATCATTTTTCTTTTCTTTTTTTTTTTTTTTGAGTTGGAGTCTCACTCTGTTTCCCAGACTGGAGTGCAGTGGCACGCTCCTGGCCACCGCAGCCTCAACCTGCTGGGCTCCAGCAGTCCTTCCGTCTTAGCCTTCCAAGTAGCTGGAACTACAGGTGCGCGCCATCACGCCTGGCTAATTTTTTGATTTATTGTAGAGATGAGGTCTCACCAAGTTGCCCAGGCGGGTCTCGAACCCGTAGGCTCAGGCAATCCACTCACCTCAGCCTCTCAAAGCGCGGGATTACAGGCTGAGCCACCGAGCCCAGCGGCAGAATCATCTTAACAGGCGGATCTCCCTTCACCAACTCATCTGTCTGTTCCGATTTGTGTGTGATGTTCCAGGCCTCTGAGAATAGCATTGCAAGTGGACTGTAAAGGTGATTCCCACTGCCCACTGAGCTGTAGAGGTTAAGGCTGTGTTGCATCCTCTGGCTTAGGTGTGCCGGCGTCCTGGACCTCTGCCCATGGCCGGTGCATTTTGAGCCACCCTTTGCAAGACTCTCAGACATTTGTGTCTTTAAACACCCATGTGGGCGGTGGTCGTAGTGGAGAATGGAGAGTCTGCCGAAGGCGAATGCCCTAGAGCTTTCCCTCCCCTTTCAAATATTAATAAAACAAGGATGTTATTAGGTTACCAATCTTGGCTCCAGTTGAATATTTGCCAGGCATCCCGTGCTTCCATCTCACATAATGCATTTTATTTTTCTTTTGGGGATTTGTTTTCCGAATCAGTTTACTTCTCCATGGTCCAGTAATCACCAGATGGACTTCACTCCAGTTTGTACCTTTCATCATTAGGGGAAAAGGAAAGTATCATTTTCTGGCAAAGAATAAATATCTCGAAATGAAAGACAATATTTAGTGACCAAAAAGAAAAGAAAAGAAAAAGCCTCAAGAGTGCTACTTTTCTGATGAATCAGAACTGGAAATGATTAAGGGCTCAATGCGTTAAAACAGTGAGCACCCGTGTCTATTTCTCCATTTCATAAGAAAATCAAACATCGTCTTTTAAATGAGTGGGGGCCGCTTAACCAAACCCTTTAAGAGAGCCGTAGATAAGTGCATTGGTATGGTTTGAGGAAATGCGTAGAGGAGATTAAAAATATTATTTTGTTGAGCTAATAGCAGTCCCTACTGGAGATTAAAGTAGCAATTGAGTCCATAACTGGAAGACAGATACTGTTCCACAGTATAGTTTCTATTTACTTAGTTCCTAACTGTCAACTTGAACTTTAGTAGAAGTTTGGACCCATAACTTGCTAAATGCTATGAGAGTGTTTCTTGCCTATACAATGCCTCAGATTGTATTTTCAGGCAAAAAAAAAATTCCCTTAGTTTGATTATTTGAATTGGTGGAGATTATTTTTATACATTCAGAATTTGAAATTCCTGTGAATCTTTAGGTTGGTTAAAAATGTGGTATGTTGTAGAGCATTATGATTTTAAGATCACAGATTTTGGTAGTACTAGCTTGGAAAGTTTCTTGCGTCATTTTGCAATGCATTTCATAAGAAAACACTTTTTAGGGCAGTATTTAGAAATTAGGGCTGGCCAGCCCTTTCATTTTAGGCTGCTGCCTCTTAGCTACTTGAATCAGAGCTTGCTATTTTAGCTTGGCTGTGTTCAGTTTAATCATCTAAAGTATCTTCTTTGTGGATGTACAATTGTAGTACCTATTTAATTTTTATTTGGGATCTATTTATTTTAATTGTAGTCTTACTCTGTCACCCAGGCTGGAGTGCAGTGGCACGATCATGCTTCACCACAGTCTTGACTTACTGAGCCAGGAGATCCTTCCACCTCAGCCTCCTGAGTAGCTGGGACTATAGGTGCATGCCACCATGCCTGCCTAATGTCTTGATTTTTTAGAGACAAGGTCTCAGTATGTTGCTTAGGTTGACTCAAACTCCTGGGCTCCAGCAATCCTTTCACCTCGGTCTCCTAAAATGCTGGGATTACAGATGTAAGTCACCACACACACCCTCTTGTGGATTTACGAAGGAAGGAATATTTAGAATGCAACCAACCTGTTACACTGAGACACACATGTTTTGCTCAAGAGGAAGATAGTAACTATAGCATTTTTTTTTTGCTGTAATGAGTGCTCACTAAGTGTTATGTTCCAGGCAATTAGCTAAATAATTTATTATTATTATTATTGGCTGTGTCTTGCTCTGTTGCCCAGGCTGGAGTACAATGTCATGATCACAGCTCACTGCAACCTCAAACTCCTGGGATCAAGCAATCCTTCTGCCTCAGCCTCTCAAGTAGTTGGGACTACAGGAGCATGCCACCATACCTGGCTAATTTTTAATTTTTCTTGTAAAGATGGGATCTGGCTATGCTTCACAGGTGGTCTCTAACTACTGGGCTCGAGTGATCCTTCTCCTCGTTCTCTCAAAGTACTGAGATTACTGCCAGAAGTCACCACACTCAGCCTCTTATGTCTATTATTTTGTGTGGAGACAGAAGCCCTATTTTGTAATAACTGTCATGACCATCATTTGGTAGGCGAGGAAACTGACAGCTCAGCAAAGGTACCCAGTGTGCCAGTGGGCCTCTAGCGGGGGCAGTGGGAGAACTGGGATCCTCCTGAGGTGCCAGGCTGGATCTTGCCACAAATGTGTGTATGTGTGTGGGGGGGGCGGCGAGGACTCTCTTACAACGGACAACAGGCTGGGCATCTGATTGTGGTCTTAAAGCTCCTGGGATGCAAGGTGACAAGTGCAAATGCAAGCCTGCGTTCCCATTCTCTTCTGCTTGGGAGAAATGTGCCTGTGAAGCAGCTATGCATTTTCAAGCAGGCTTCCCATGGAAAAACGAACGTGGGCACACACTCCACTCAATTCCCAGAGCGCTTTCTCTCAGAGGTTCTTCTACAAGATTACAAAGACTGGGAACCTAGCCCGTTATTAGTAGTATTTTTAAAAAGTTATTCTGGCTTCTTTCAGGGGCATATCAGTTTCAAAGGTTGCTGTCGGTTGGGAGCAGCTGAAGTTGAAATGGCCTGAATGTTACATGTGGCCTCAGAGCGGAAACTTTTCTTCGAAGTTGAAAAGCTGGTGGAATATTCATAGAAATGTAATATGAGCACAGGATACCAAGTCAGTGTCAAAACTTCGTTCCAAGCCATAGCTGTTGTTTGTACAACTGACTCCTCAGGGACCGGCTGGGGATAAGGTAAGAGGGGGAGTGGGTTGGGTTTCCATGTGCTTTGAGAGGGGACTTCAGGTTGAGGCTCCCCTGCCCCGTGGCGGGGGGATCATTTGTCCACAGTACTTAGGTTTTTGGGTGGTGGGGGGCGGGGGTGTGGTTATAGGTCCAGCCCTTCCTGCTCTGGGCTGGGCATCTCTTACTCAGATGTGGATCTGATTTCTTCATCCCGCCACCTGTGTTGTGCCCGAGACATCAAAGCTACAGCTTCCTCAACAGACGAATGTATTTTTTAAAGAAATATCATTGTGCAGTGTCATGCTGGGGCAGAAGGGACACCATTCAATTTTTCTTTGACACTCTCATGATCAAGAGATTGATTTTTTAAAAAATCACGGTGGCGGGGACTCTGATGGGTATCACCTTAAGATCCTGGAATTAGACCTTAACTCTAACCAAAGGGATCAAAAACCGATGACCTAAATTTCCTTTCAAGAATTAACAAATCTCTCTCATTCCTCCCCCCTAGGAACTCTACTCATCTGTAGTTAATCTAAGAATTAACATTTAGAAAATTACGGCCTCAGTGCCTTAAATGAGGTAGGTGCCTGGTGGCTCAGTTGATTAGAACCCTGTGCTAATGAGGTCACGGGTTCAGTCCTCAAGAGGGCCCGGTTCATTTTGCTGTGGTCCCCCTCTGAACCCAGCCAGGTCTCTGAATGGACACTGGTCACAAGTGGCCTTCTGGGGAAGAGTCAGCACAAGATTTCCCACTATTTATGAGTAGAACAACTTAAAGCAGATGCGTCGAGTTAATTTGGAATATGGCAGTGATCCCAAGGGGGGAGCAAAATGGTACCCTAGAGGCTGCAAGGACTTCTTGCAGACTGTACCAAGTGCCCCACTTCCTGGGAGTGGCTTCCTTGCGGGGGGCGGGGGGGGGGAACTGATGTGTGTGGGAGGTTCCAATCCTGCCAGTGGGGGAGGGGTGCTATCTAATAACAGTGGGAGGCTGAGTGCTTATTCATGCAGACACAGAGGGCTGCTTCAGTGGAATCTTGCTGACTTGTCAGTCCCTGATCTAAGAGATGGGTCATTTGGGGCTTTCTGGTTAAGGTCTGTAGTTGTGCAACCCGTGGGACCATTTCTTCCATCACCAGGCTGCTCCAACTGTTTGTCTCCAGCTGCAGGAGACTTATAGTAGCTGGGGGTACTGGGAACAAGGGTGACTTTCACCCTCATACGTTTTCTCCCTTTTCCACTTCCGACCTTCTCTCAGAAACCACTTTTCCAGGGACAGTTCCAGAACCAGCTCTCACCCTAGCATGGCTGGATGCAGTGATATCCTCTGAGGCTATTCTTGAATTTAGGGAAGAATAATGCCTAATGAGCTCAACTGTGCCTGGTGGTGTTCATGGTCAAAACCAACAACTCCCACTGACTTTTTCCCAGCGACCATGAGACCTTCTTCAAGGCAGAGCCCAGGTATTTTTTTTTTAATTTTAATTTTTAACAATTTTAGCCACTGTACCCTTTTCACTTAGCAGGACGCTTTGTCTGTAATAGGAGCTCAATAAATATTTGTTGAATGAATAAGTGAATGGACAAAATAATCAAATGTAGAACTGGTCTCATTTTGACAAGGGCGAGTTTCGAATGTTATCATTTTCTTGTATATGCGGTTATTGAAAATAACTTAGAAAATGAGATGGACAGAAATCCAGAAAATAAGAATCACACATAATGCCACCCCTTGGAGATAATCTTCCTTGCCATTTTGGGGTGCATAATGTCTATATCTACATATGTACCAGCTATATATACGGGATTCTGACAGTATGTATTATTGCATAATCTTTTTATTTATTGTATCCCAAATCTTTGCATGATGTTATATATTCTTCCACATTATCATTTTAAATCTTTCCAGAGCATTTTATTGCATGACTGTACTTCAACTTAATCAGTTGCATATTAAAATATCCTTGTAGCTAAAATGTTCTACATAGCTTTATTTATTTCCTCGGGTTAAATTTCTGTAAGAGGAATTGCATGGTTCCATGGTTTTCTAATTCAATATGTGTTGGCAAGGTATCGATCAGCAAGGTGCCACCAATTTGCACTGCCACCTGCAAAAATCCAGTGTACGCCATCTCCTCTTTTGCTAGACAGTGAGTATTATCATTCTTTTAAACATTTGCTAATTTCATAGCCAAAAAAACCCCAACAAATCAATGCCATTATATTTTGCATTTCTTTTGCTAATGGTGAAGCTGATTATTATTTTTTTTAATCTGGCTATTTCAATGTCTTCTTTGCAAATTACTAGTTAATAAGACCTATATATTTTGGGGGCCATATACTTTCCCCTATCTGTTTCATAGGGTTGCTGTGAAAATGTGTTGAAGTAATCTATCTGAATATGTTTGAAACCTACCAAGAAATACACAAATGTGTCAAGCAACTGCGTGACCTGGTAGGGGGAGGATCAGGCGGAGTGGTCACTACAGATACATGGGCTGAGTAAGAGGTACTGAACAAGGGCTTGGGCGTGCTTTGCTGCAGGACGACTAGGGAAAGCCATCTGTAGAGAAGGGGAAACAGGCCCTTGGTCAAGAGATTGTAGCTTTGGGAAGGTCCCTGGAAATAGACAAGGTCAGTACAGGGGCTGGGAGCTGGAAACAAGAGCCAGTTTGAAAGAGGAGGGAGCACGATAGGCCAGGGGATTGTAGGAAACCGAAGAAACTGCAGGCAGGTAGGCACTCAGGTGGTCTGAACCTACCAACTGAGAAGAGGAAAAAATAGTGGTGCCACTTCTATGAAGACTTCCCAGAATTCCTGGGTGACCAAAGAGCAAGTGTGTTCAAGGACAGACAGGGAAACAGAGCGCCACTGAAGACAGATGTGGTCCCAAGGACAGAGCACACCTGTGTTTTCCAGAGGTAATCACACCTGGGAAAAGCATAGAAAATAGATAGGTGGTTAAGTCAACAAAGGTAACATACTGTGCCCACAGCCCCTGCCATGTGCATGATCACACTTATGTAAAAAGATGTGTAAGGTATATGTAGTATATGTAATGCATGTGTTACATAATACATTTGTATTCTTTTATTCTCTCTCTGTATATTATATGTGGAAATAGGCCTGACTTTGAAAATCTCAAGAAAGTGGTAATGAGGAAGGATAGGAAGAAATAATTTTATTTACTTCTTCTCATCTTTTACAGTGTTGTTTCTTTTCTTTTCTTTTTTTTTTTTTTTTTGAGTTGGGAGTCTCACTCCATCGCCCAGGTTGGAGTGCAGTGGCACGCTCACGGCCGCCCCAGCGTCAATCTGCTGGGCTCTGGCGATCCTTCCTGCCTCAGCCTTCCAAGTAGTCAGAACTACAGGCACGCCTCACCACAGATGGCTAATTTTTGATTTATTGTAGAGATGCGGTCTTGCCAAGTTGCCCGGGCTGGTCTCGAACCCGCGGGCTCAGGCAGTCCCCTTGCCTCAGCATTCCAAAGTGCTGGGAATACAGGCTGAGCCACCGAGCCTGCCCGGCCTGTTTCGTTTGTTACAATAAGTATGTATTACTTCTCTGTTTGACAATAAAGAAAAATAAAGAAGACAATTTGAAGAATGAGAAACACGTAGTATATGCTGTGTGTTGCTTGACTTCCACTCTGCACACAGGGCGGGGAATTAGGAGGTGGCTTTCTGGGCTGTCACTGGAACCAGTGCTAACTCTGGCCGGAGAGTCCCAGGGAGCATCTGAGAGTGACACCAGGGCCCCTCAGGGCTGCAGTGCATCCCCCACTTAGATGACAAGGAGAAGCTGTACCTTCTTGGCAGGCAGAACCCTGACCAACAAGTATGACATTTCATGGGCTGGGAGCAGACAACGGGCCTTCCTTCCAGATCAGGTGTGGGTGGCTGCCTCTCAGGAGGCAGGGATTAGTTGCAGGGAAAAGAACTTGAACTTGAATGGAGGAGGAAAAAAACTTTCTTCTGCTCCGGTTTTCAAAGGCTGCCACTGCAGCGAGGAAACGAAGCATCTACCTGGGTTTTGTGTGGTTTTACATTAGGTGAGATGCTTTCAGAGAGAACACCATTTCCTGTGTCCTTCATGGGCCAGGAACTGTGCTGAGACCCGGGGATCAAGAGGGGGATGCCAGGCTGAGGTGACCTTTGCCCTTCTGAGGTTAGTTGAGCTGGGAGGTGGATGGTAGAGGAGAACGTGAGCTGACAGAGTGGCTTTGCCCTTGGTAGTGATGGCTCTGGAGGAAACCCGCAGGGCAAGCCAAGCCGATCAGAGCTGGGCCTGTTTGGAATCTGGAGGTGATGGCAGGTCTTTCTGAACCGAGGACAATTCAGGTGAGTCAGGGATGAAGAGGAGGACCAGCAGGTGGGTAGTGGGTTGAAGGAGACCCAGGAAGTGGGATGGAGCTTGGCTGTGTGTCTGCAGGGACTTGAACCGGGTTGCTGGGGTGTGAGAGGTGCACCCAGTTTCTGACAAGCTTCACATTCAGGGATTTGACTTTCTCCGAAGTGCAAAGGCAGGTGTTGTGCTTAGAAATCCAGCATGCCAACTTTATTTTCCAATCTAAAAAAAAAAAGGAAAAGGAAGAAAGAAAGAACTCTAGCAGGCCAATGGAGTGTCTCTGCCTCAGCTCAACCTGAGATGTCATCACCTCCGTTGTCTCCACCCTGGCCCAAGCCGCTGCCGTTGCTTGCTCAGACTACTGCAGTTATAACCTGAGTCAGATTGTGTCAAAAGATTTGCTGAATGAGGCCAGGCACGGTGGCTCACAGAATCCCAGCATTCTCTGAGGCAGGAGGTTAGCTTGAGCCCAGGAGTTCGAAACAGCTGTCTCTATGATAATAATTAAAAAAAAAAACAAAACAAAATTTAAAAAGTTTGCTGAAGGAGTGCAAAAGCAAATGTGGTAGGTGGATGCTCCATGCTCAGAAACATCTCATTTTATTTTATTTTATTTGAAATGAGATCTTGCTACGTTGCCTAGGCTGGTCTCAAATGCCTGGGCTCAAGCTATCCTCCCACCTCGGCCTCCCAAAATGCTGGGATTTGATTACAGGAGTGAGCCACTGCACCCGGCCACATTTTATTTTTAAACTTTGGTTTTGACTTCTATTACATAAAAAAAGCCACTCCAATTTAGCTTTATTTTTGCTAAAAGACCGGGCTGCAGCGAGAACAGAATCTGGTGTCCAGCCACAAGCCTGAAGACGGAGGAAGGGTCCCAAGCCACAGTGCCGCCGCCTGGATGCCTGAAAGGCTCTCACAGGCGGGCTGCCGCTACATCATCATCTCATGGTAGGCCCAGCAGGTACTGATATTGTCTCCACTCTGCAAGTAGGAAATGCAACCTTACAGCATGGTACAAAGACTCAACAAGGTCCTCGGAGCAAGTTCCTCTGCTCTGGTGAGCTTTCAGTGAGCCTGAGGTACATGTGGCCATCGTGGCCACATTCAAAATTGCTTGGGCTCCATCCAGTGGCCTCAGAAGCCCTTGCTCTAGGAGTTTGTGGTCAGCAGGAAGGAGCTTATGAATGGCCATGACTCATGGCTCCATTACCACCTCTGGGCAGCAGGGGCCTTGGCTGGTTTCTGCTCACCTGGTACACAGGAGACTCAGCCTCCCTAATCTCACTTTGGGACCAGTGAGTCTCTAGACTTCATCTGGATTTCGAAGTCCTGAGATCAGTGTAAGTTCTGGCCTTCTCCCTTCTCCCAGCACTTAGACACCTGTGGTTGTGATGATTTTGGATGTGCTACCTGTCCACCGAAGGGCACCTGGGTTCTCTGTCATCATGGAGCCCTGGTCTGTTATCCTCCTTGGACTTTCTTCCAAGGGCATCTCCTGTGATCACTGGAATTGCCCCTTGTTGTCTGAGGCTCATTTAGGCATGTTAGCATTTGGGAAACACGTGTGGCATCCAGACTGGCTAGTGTAGCCCTCCAAGCCCCTTAGCTCTGCATTCCCTGGCAGGATCCCATCGGTAACCCTTTGGAGCAAAACTTAATCCTCAGCATTTGGAATTCAGTATCCCTTATCTGAGCTTGAACTGAAGGAACCCACAATCTGTTCTGGCCCTTGAGAAAAATGGCGGTTTGTCACAACACGTGAACTTGGCATTTGAGATCAGCAGTCACCTGGGAGTTAGTGTGAGATAGAGTCAAACGTGGGCTTTGGGAATGGGTAGGTCTGGGTCCCAGAAGGTGCTTTGCACTTACTGTCATGGGACTTCGAAATAGACAATTTGCACAATCTCTCTACAGCCTTTTTATCATCTTTAAAATGGGGATAATACCATCTACCTCATAAGGTATTGATGACGATTAAAAGAAAGGAATTTCCAAGAGACATACAAGTACTAGTTTCTAACCTCTTTACTCTGAATAATTTAACAAATTCCTTAAAAAATGGAACATCCTTCAGAATAGACTCCTGCCCATCTGCTGTCCGCTGGACATCCACAGGGGTGTGGATTCCTTTGTTGGGTTTGTGGCCAGTTGACCCTGCACTTTGAAAGGGGAAAAAGGAAACCTCTTCTACCTCAGGCAACGAGCCTCTTTAAAGTCTGCATTGGACACCAATCTCAAAGAATATTCTTATTAACATACTTTCTTACAAATGAAGCTCTACTCATCAAATATTTATATGTAGTATTCGGCAAAGTCAGAGTCGTGCTTGGCAAGCCTGGGGACGTTTCCCATGTGCGCTGTGGGGTGGCAGAGGCAGGGGAGACCCTTTAATTTTGTGACATGGTTTGGGGGGGCTCCAACATGAGCCACTCTTGGCATGGTTTCTCCCAGCTCTGGGCCTGGTCTGGGGCCTGTCAGGACTCCCACATAGCCCGTCCTTGCAGGCAACTCCCTTTGAAGTCCACGGGAGCTCTTTGAATAGAAAACATACACAACGGGGTATTGATGCAAATAAGAATCAAGCCTGATGTGTGCGAGGAATAAAGGTGCTTCTCACCCCAAATATTAGCTCTTTAACCCAGAAACTTTGGTTTGATCATCAAATAAAAGAGTCCTCCTCTCCCCACCAAAAAACCACAATCCACCACCAAAGCTCCACCATCCACTTGCTCAGGAGATGATAAAGCTGCTAATTACGGGAGAGTTTTAATTAAGCAACAGATATAGACAGAAAAGGGCTCTGTTTTTACTTTAAACATATCGATTGAATAAACATTCTCAATTCCAGGGCAACTTGCTAAATGAAAAAGAAAATAAACATTACTCTCTTGAAATATCACTCATCGAGTGTGATAAGTTAGAAAAATATCTCTATTAGAGATAGTTAGAGATTTTTTTTTGGTTGGAAATGCAATCGCCGATGGAGTGAAAAGCTGCAATTTGTAGACAGGTTAAGTAAATTAAATCACTCACTGTCTTTTTCTTTTTTTCAATGGCTTTAAGAGTTAAAGGTAATTTGCAAAGAAAATGCTCAGTTTGAATTGGTTTGTAATATCTATTAATGATCTTAAAAAAAATCCACTTATTCACAATTCTGTCCCTGAGGGAATTCCAGTGTGCGATTAGAAAAAAATTCTGAAGTCTGAAATGTCATTAGCTAGTGATTTCTTTGAAGTAAAAAGCCCTGAAAAAAATAAATTATATAAGGTATACAAGTGCACAGGACAATCACTTTGATGAATAGTATCTGTATTTTTCATAATGTTTCATACTTAAAAATGCAACAATTGAAATCCAAGCTGCTAAATTGTAGAGCTGTCTTTTGAAATACCTCAATGTAGGCATACCTTCTGTTTATTTCACACATATATTGAGTGCTTCCATATATTTATAGGTTGTTGATGTAAAAACAGTAGTGTCAGGAACAATTTTGATTATATTCATTGTGTGTACCTTTTGGAAACACAAGGTGTTGCCTAAATGTAGGCCTCCAGGTATTGCCATCCGGGATTAAAACAATAGCCTGTTTCAATACTGCATTCTGGATCCCAGAGCCAGGTGCCTGAGTGGAGGTGCAAACATTACGCAGCCCGGGAGGATTGTTCAATATTGGATAACAGAGCCGTGAAACCCTGCACCGAAGGGGACATTTTCTTCCTGACCCCAGCGGGTGATCAGTTTTTGCCTGGAAGCAGGAGAGTCTTTGTAATACAATGCTAGTCAATGTAACGGGCAGATGCTGGTTTTGCTGCTATAAATAGCTCATCATTTTGTTTTTTGAAGGAGGAGTTGGATTTTACTAAACCATTGGCTACAGGTTAATTATACATTTCGTGAGAAAGCATTTTCTTGTAGTCAGACTAAATTTGTTACCTTTTAATCCCATTTTATATAATAAGCCTATAAATATATGCGCCTCTAGCAGATCATTGCTATTTTCATTATTTTATGTGCCCGGCCTCTGAAGCTCTCTGTCTTCCTCATGCATTACTCACTTTTTGCTAAATCGCAGAGGGCCCCAGTTTGATTCATTCCCGCACCTGGGAAAGGCATTTTCTTTCTCTTAGTCCAGCTGCCTTAAAATCACACGCCTCGCTGTTCTTCCTGTTTCCTGCTCTGCCACTGACATCCAGCAGGTGAACTGACACAGGTAAGAGCCAGCTTGGCTATCAAACTGAAAATGGATTGATTTTAATAAAGATATTTGATAATAGTTTCTTAGTCCCTCCTTTTACTTCATCTAAGAAAATGGAAATCAACCTTTGAAACTTTTTTTTTTTTGAGTTGGAGTCTCACTCCGTCGCCCAGGCTGGAGTGCAGTGGCATGCTCACAGCCACTCCAGTGTCGACCTACTGGGCTCAAGCCATCCTTCCGCCTCAGCCTTCCAAGTAGCTGGAATTACAGGCACACACCACCAGGCCCGGCTAATTTTTTGATTTATTGTAGAGATGAGGTTGCTTCAAGTTACCCAGGCTGTTCTCAAACCCGCGGGCTCAGGCAGCCTCCTCGCCTCAGTCTCCCAGAGTGTTGGGATTACAGGCTTGAGCCACCACTCCCAGCCTTAAAACTTTTTAATAGAGGCTTCACTGGGGGTCCACATAAGGATGACGGCCGACAGCAGAAGCGTGGGACTTGACTTTGTGAATTTGGGGCGAAAACATCTTGTAACACCTCCTGCAACAAGAAACAGAATGTGGTCAATGTTTCCGGCCACCCCCATGGTGGGCATCCACCTCCCCCCAAACTGCTGACTTCGTTTCTGACACTATGGGTTTATTTTACTTGTTCTAAACTTGATATGAACTGAGTCATGTGGTAGGTTTTTTTTTTGTTGTTTTTTTTTTTAACTGGAGTCTTACTCTGTTGCCCAGGTTGGAGTGCAGTGGCATGCTCACAGTGACTGCAGCCTCACCTGCTGGGCTTAGGCAATCCTTCCGCCTCAGCCTTCCAAGTAACTGGAACTACAGATGCACACCACCACACCTGGCTAGTTTTTATGATTTATTGTGAAGACGTGGTCTCACCAAGTGGCCCAGGCTGTCTCGAACCTCCCAGGCTCAGGCAATCCTCACGCCTTGGCCTCCCAAAGTGCTGGGATTACAGGCTGAGCCACCACACCGGCCGGTATTCTTTTTTAAACATTTTGTTTTATTGTGGTAAGAACATTTAATGTGGGCAGGTGTTCTTTTGTTTGGCTTTATTTTCAACATGATGTTTGTGAGTTGTGTCTGTGTTGCTGGGTGTCCAATAGTATATTTTCCTTATTGGATTTTCTTCTATTTTTTCTACATTTTATCCGTTTTACCCTTGATGAGCATTTGGGTTGTTTTGAGTTTTAGGCTATTTTCAGAGAGTGCCACTAGAAACTTCCATGTGCATATTTTTGGTGTGTGTGGTGTGTGTCCGTGAGTGTGAGTGTGTGTGAGTGTGAGTGTGTGTGAGTGTATGTGTGCGTGTGCATTCTGTTGAGTCTATATATAGACCAAAGAGGAAATGACTGAATTGTAGGGCGTGGCTATGCTCAACTTTAGTAAATAATGCCAAACAAGTTTTCAAAGAGACTGTGTCAGTTTCCACTTCCACCAGTCCTGAGTGAGTGTTGTAGCTTCTCTAAATCCTGATTCTCACATGGTGTTCTCAGTCTTTTGGATTCTGGTCATTCTGGTGGTATATAAAGCATTTGGATAATTTTATTGTAATGTCCTGACCAGGTATGTGATCACTGTATTTTTAATTTAGTTTCCTGAATTGTTAACCATTTGAGCATCTTTGCCATCTATATTGGCCATTTGAATATTTTCTCACGCGAATGGTCTAAATAAGCCTCCTGATCATTTTTCTCTTGGATTGTTCATCTGTGCTTATGGATTCTTAGGAGATATTTATAAATTCTGGATACAGCTGTTTGATTATATGAGGGGGGGGATCCCAAAAAAACCCCAGAAATATCTTTTGGAAGGCTTGTTCCTTGCTTGTTCCTCTAGGTGAGTGTCCTAGGAACCCACTGGGAATCAGTGTACCAGCTAGCGTTGTTGTGAGAGACTCCTTTTGGCTTCAGTGAAATTTTTTTGGAGATTCTTTCAGAGTGCTTGCCCATTCCATGATCGGTGGTTTTTGAGCGCACCTGCCCACACTGTGCTGAGTATTCAGCAGTTTTGGACCCCAAATGGCGTGACCCCTGTGCCCCCCCTTCCTATTCACCTGATCTCTCTCCGAATGACTTCTTTTTGTTTTCCCGGAAGAAAAAACCCTCAAAGGGAAACGATTTGCCGATGTGGAATACATGAAACAAAAAATGGCAGGAGTACTAAAAGGCATCTGAACGGACGAGTTCAAAGACTGTTTTGAGATGTGGAAACAGCATCTCAGTAAGTGTATTGCATCAAACAGAGAGTCCTTTGAAGGTGAATAAAGTTAAAACATGTAAGAATAAATGCACCATTTTTAATAAATAAATTCCTGTTTTTTTGGTCCCCTCATATGTGTTGCAAATATCATATACCATCCTGAGCTTGATTTTTTACTCTCTTTGCTGTCTCTGATGCTGTCTCTGAGTGAACAAGAGATTTTAATCTTAATATAGTCTAATGTACCCATATTTTCCTTTATGGTTAGTGCTTTCTGTGTCCCATTTAAGAGAGCTTTGCTTACTCCAAAGCCATGATAGTATTCTTTTATATTATCTTTTATGAGCCTTGTTGTTTCACCTTTCACAAATTGGATCTACAATCCACATGGCATTGATTTTGGTATATGGTATGAGGTTGGGATCAAATTTGATTTTTTCTTTCATGATGTCCAGTTATCCTGAACTATTAATGGAAAATACTGTTTTTTTCCTCCAATGCTCTGCAGTGATACTTTTGCCACAAATTAAGAACCCACTTATTTAAAAAGTGATCATCTGACCTTTTTTCCTTTATTTTGTTAGTGTGGTGAATTATTCAATGGGTTTTTGAACATTAAACCAATCTTGCATTTCTAGATTAAGCCCAACTTGGTTGTGATGTATTATTTATTTTATGTATTGCTGCATATGCTTTGCTCATATTTTTGAAAAATAATTTTTATGGCAACATTTATGAATAAAATTTTACCTGTAACTTTATTTTATTGTAATGTCCTGACTAGGTATGTTATCAAGGTTCAGCTGGCTCATAAAATAAGTTGAGAAGTATGCATTCTTTTAAAAATTAAAACATGAGTCTAATCTAGGATAGCAATTAAATGTATATTTTGTCCTGAATAAATACTCACTACAATTTTCTCTCCTTTCAGGCTTCTGGTATATTTTAACTTAGACTTATAGCAGGAAGCTGGTTTTATGTGAGGCTTGCATGGGAAAGTTAGAATATCTTCTAGGAATTTCCATATGGCACTCAGCAGTATGCTCATGTGCCCAAGTCTGAAATTTGTTACTGTATCTTAATTCCTGAACCCACTATCAAAACCCATCAGATGAGGAGCCTTTTTGGACCTAAGACAAGCATTTGGAAAAAACACCCGGGCCCCCCACTGAGAATTGTAAAAGCCAATTTTATGTTTGACTTTTGACCCCTTCAGTCATTTTTCCACAGACTTTTAATTTTTACTTCTACAATTTCCCTTAGTTCTATGCATCTCCTTTCTCACCCTCTCTCTCTTTTCCTCCCTAGTATTGTTCCAGTTCAAGACCTTGTCACCCCTTGCCTGAGCTATTGTATGTGTAGGGCTTGATCTCCATTTCATCTTCTTGTCAGTGTGCAAGTGCACACTCTGAAATGGAAAGCCGCATTAGTCCTTTGCTGAAAACTGTGTGGTGTAGTGCTTCTGCATTGTTTGCAAGATGAAGTCCAGGCTCACCCACACGGCACAAGTTCTCCCATGACCTGGAGTCTTTGTCCTTCCAGGTTGCTTAGCAATATGCCTTTGACTGGGTAATTTATCAACAGTAGAAGTGTATCACTCGTAGTTCTGGAGGTTGGGAAATCCAAGATCCAGGTGCTGGCAGATTCAGTGTCTAGTAAGGTCTTTATAGAGGTCACCTTGTTGCTGTATCCCCACATCATGGAAGGGGCAAGGGAGCTCGCTCAAGCCCCTTTTATGGGGTCACTAATGCCATTCATGAGGTTGGAGTCCTCACGACTAAATTCCTTTCCAAAGGCCCTACTTCTTAAGACTATGACATTGGGTGTTGGGTTCTAGCATATGAATTGGGGGGACATCATTTGGGCCATGACACTTGGCCCTTACCTCCCCAGTCTGCTTTCTTGTCCCACTAGTCTTTGGTTTTTTCTCCTGCAGCTCTATCTGTGTGCACCCTGGGTTGATTTGTGTCCCCACTTTTGCCTGTGCTGATCCTTCTCCCTGGAAGAGACTGTTTATGTCCTTCTACGAGAAAATTCATTCTTTAATAGTCAGCTCAGGCTAGCTAACCTGTCCCTCCCTAGCTGGATTGTGGGGCTCTTCTTTCTGCCCATGTCTCTATCTGTCTGATTGGTCTGGGAGCTCTTTGCAGGCGGGTCTCAGTTCTCAGTTATCTACGTACACCTGTAACTTTTTTTTGAAGATAGGGTTTCTGGCCAGGCTCAGTGGCTCAGCCTGTCATCCCAGTGTTTTGGGAGGCTGAGGTGAGTGAATTGCCTGAGCCTGCGGAGTCAAGATCAACTTGAGCAACTTGGTGAGACCTCATCTCTACAATAAATAAAAAAATTAGCCAGGCATGATAGTGCAAGCCTGTAGTTCTGGCTACTTGGAAGGCTGAGGTGGAAGGATTGCTGGAACCCGGCAGGTTGATGTTGTGGAGGCTGTGAGTGTGCCACTGCACTCCAGCCTGGGCAACAGAGCGAGACTCCAACTTAAAAAAAAACAAAAAAAGACACGGTTTTACTCTGACACCCAGGTGGGAGTGCAGTGGCATGATCATGGCTCACTGCAGGCTCAACCTCCTGTGCTCAGGTGATCTTCCTACCTCAGCCTCCCAAGTAGCTGGAACTGCAGACACATGCCTCCGTACCTTACTAACTTTTCTATTTTTTTTTTGTAAAGAATGGAGCTCACTTTGTTGCAAAGACTGGTCTTGAATTCCTGGTCTTAAGCAGTCCTCTCACCTCAGCCTCCCAAAGTACTGAAATTACAGGTGTGAGCCACTGTGCCCAGTCACACCCATAACTTTCTGTGTACTGGTAGACAACAGGTGCTCAATAAATGATGATAGATCCAAGCAGAGGGAACAACAGTGACCGGCTGATTATTTTGAGTTTTATTTCATCCCTTTTTGGAAGCTGAGATGGAATGAAATGGCCAAAATTATTTGACCAGAAGGGAAGCAGGAAGGCAAAAGCTCAGGAAAATCTACATATACAATCTCTTCCTGTGTAGCTGAGTTCAGTCCAGCTGATTAAAATCCTCTTATGGTGGGATCTGCTTTTTATAGAATGGATTAGCAACGAGGATTTTCTGTGAAGCTAGATTTTTCCAGAGAAACACATTTGAGCAATTTAAGAATTTAAATGAAAAAAGAAAAATTCTGCTTAAAAGGCAAGTTGACCAATCTCCTTCTCTTTTCTTTTATTAATAAAAGAGTTTACACAGACACTCTTTAGGAAATTGTGTGAGATTCACAGGGATCATTAGAGTCTCTACTAGACATCCACTTTCACTTTGTGAAATCGGCTGTACCCTCAAAATGGTATCACATAGAAACGGAATTTCTGGGCTCTTATCTGTGAATGGGTTCCAGTAACACAGCGATGCCATTCATTTTATTTGGCCCATTTATGGCAAGTACATTCTAAATTTGGCCTTAATTATTTTTCCTTTCACAAAAATATTTTGCGGGATCTTTTTGAGCCCTGACAACTTCCTTCTTGCCCCTTAAAACAGAAGCCAGGAGTGTTATTTTTGTTCTCTTCTAATTAAAATAATTGCTTGGTTCCTTTTAACTAGATTCGTGCAGTTATTAGCCTAATACATGGATGGGTGCCACGGAGTGCTTGAGACTCAAAATGAAAAGTGATCATGTAGCTTCACATGAAAAAGATTCCGTGGTGCCAAGGAGCATTCTTTCCTTTCAGCCGGCATTTTATAAGGGCCTTTGCGTAAACCTGGCCCCCATACCCTTACCAAAAGACTATTAAGTGAAAGAATAGTTCTATTTTCCTTATTAAGGTATAGAGCTAGCTTAGTACAATTTGAAGAGGGGCACTTGATGTGCTGAGTAGGGCACAAAGACCTCGGGTCTGGTTTTAATCTCTGCCCCTGCTTTGTCTTTCAGAATAACTGCAAGCGAAGGAAGAAAAGCTTTGTGTCCCCTCTGCCAGTTGGTGTTTGTCAAAGGACAGTGGAAGAAGAGAGACAACGTGCCTGGATATGTGTGTTAGTCAAGAGTCTTCAGACCCGGCCTCCAAAAGGAAGCGCTAAAACAGTGCTTGTGATGAGACTTTTCTCACAGTTGATGTAGTCTAAAGGTTGGCAAACAGGGTCCAATCGGGCCACAGCTGACCTGCTGCCTGTTTTTGTAAAGAAAGTTCTGTTGGAGCACAGACACACCCATTTTTTTATGCATCGTCTGCAGCCACTTTCACGCTACAACATCGTGTGGTTGTGACCACGACCATGCGGTCTATGAAGCCTAAAATTCTTCCTATCTGGCTCTTTACGCAAAGTTTACTGACTCCCAGCGTTCTCCATCCAGTTCACTGTGTATTTACCGCATACCTACCCCGTGTGGGGAAATAAATGGTGCGGGTCTTTTTACGGTAGTACTTCTTTGAAGAAATGCTCAGGGCCTTTGGTGATGTACTGATTTTATGAGTGTTCAGAGCAGGTGTGTGGATGGCAGGAGGCAAGAGGGATTTAGGGCAGGAGGTCTTGGTTAGAGAAAAGATTCTGCCACGATGGCCTCAGTGGCAAGTCATTAATTATGGCCACCTCTTCCTCTGCTTGCTACCTAGAAAGGAAGGTGTAGACATGGCTGGAACTTCTGGCTTGGAGTGCACCTTTGTTACCTTTATTAACAGCACCGAGACATTATGGTCAATACAGTAGGCGCCTGCTTCCAAGACAAAAGATGGGCACCCAGTTGGTGGGTGGGAGAATCAGGTAAGGGAGTGTGAGCCCAAGTGTTTTCTAAGCCATAAGGTACTGAATTTGTGGTGTAGATATTATGTATAAAGACATTAGAATACATCATTATCCCTATTTGACATGTGAGGAAATGAGATTTCGATAGCATGCCCAAGATCAGAAGTAAGCCAGCAGAAGATCTGGAGCGAGGTCTCCTGGCTTTAAGTCACTCCTCTTTTGAGTACACCATGATGCTTCTTTACAGCATGTGTCTTTTCATGGTTTCAGAGACGTTCAGACCTTTAGTTCATTTGTACATTCATTCATTTGCTATTCAGCATCATTATTTTGAAAATTAATTAAATTTTATTTTAGATTCAAGGAGATTATTTATTTTAGATGCGCAGGTTTGTTACGTAGGCATATTGCATGATAGCGAGGTTTGGGCTTCTAATGAACCTCTCCCCCACGGTGAGCATGGTACTCGGAGGGTAGTTTTTCAGCTCTTATTATCCCTCTCTCTCTCTCCACCCTTTGGCAGACCCCAGTGTCTGTTGTTCCTGTCCTTGAGCCCGTGTGTGTCCAGTGTTTAGTTCCCACTTACGAGTGATACCGTGAAGTATTCAGTTTTCTGTTTCTGTGATAATTCACTTCGAATTATGGCTTCCAACTCCATCCCTGTTGCTACAAATGACATGATTTCCTTCTTTTTTGTGGCCGTATCATATTAAATGGTTATATATAAACATGCCGCACTTTATTCAGTCCACCACTGATTGGCACCTAGACTAGTTCCATGTTTTTGCTATTGTGCTCTTCAACATTATTCAAGAGTCTGCTATGAGCTGGAAAAAGATGATTTTTTTTCCGGGGAGAGTGAGAGATGAGTTGGAAGATTCTTCAATCACTTTGTTCTTGGAGTTCTGTGGCTGGAATCCTCCAGAAGTGCATAGGTCCTCCTCCTACTTTTCCCTGAGTGGTCCCAAAAGTTGGCTCTTATTTGTGATCTGGAGAAAGAGAGAGTAGGTGAACTGGACGAGGGAGAGCAATCCTGTTTTTCCAAAGAATGCTGCCTGACACCTTATTTTATGTCGTGTGCGTGTGCATGTGTCTATGCCTGTGTACAGAACAGGAAAGAAAGAGAAAGAGAAGAACCACACGCTGAGAGCAGATTGTACTAGCAACTAAAAGATGAAGACAGCCTAGGCTTGGGAGATTTGAAAGTTAAGATTTTGCATGTAAAATCAAAGAGAATCGATATCAGAGAAATCTCAAATACGGCTTGTCCAGCTAAATGACATGTATTAAACATGGGTGTGCCTTATTTTACCATGCTGTTAAATACAGTCTTTACTTGGATTATATTTATTCCATGTCTTGTCTTGTAATTTCTGAGATGATGGTGATCGAATGTGCCTGAGGAAGCAGGTTCCACCAAAATCTTGAATTTACCTTTTCATGGTAAGAGAAGTGAAGTTCTTGAAGGTTTTCTGTTTTTGATATTTGCCCTTTTAACAGGGGAAACTTGCCAATCTTTTTTATTGTATTCAAAGTTACTGGATCCTTGTTCTCTTCAGATTAATCTGTGATCCTGAAAGGCATGTGAGTCTCTGCAATAAAGGTGCCAGTGAAGTTGTCCAATGAAAAAACCAACCTTCCAGAATCTTCCATCATGTAGTTGTTGCCTGCAGACGGAGCTCTTAGTGGTACAGTAGAAAGTTCTGCCCAGTTCGCCCTGTTTCCACCACAAAAGACAGCCACACCCTGCTGACTGAATTTGGAGGTGGTGAGATCTAATTCTTTGATGCATCTGTGAAACTGTGTTACTTCTCAGATTGTCCCAGGACCTAGGACGCTGCTGTTTGAAGAAATATAATTTATTTGGGCACCCAAAAGGCAAATTCAGAGCAGGACTTAGTGCTGTTACAGAAAACATTTCATTTGTAATAAATTTGTAAGCATTAATTTATGTAGCTTTCTTGTAACAGAGTGAATTTTCTTCTATTTGCTATGAAATACACTTCTTTTTCGAATTCTATTCATTTAGCAGGTATTCAACTGAAGCAATTGTCACTAAGTTGGAAGTTTTTATAGAGGAGAAATAGATCATTCAACACAGTGTAAAAGTCCACTGCATTGGGTGATCGCTACTCCCTTGGTGTATAAGCTAGTTTTTTGGTGATGGAACAATAACTCTGGAAGAGTTAAACATCTTTGAAAACTGAGGGAACCGATAGTGTATTGCAGTCGTCACTACGGCTGTCATCATGGTGTTCACTGTTCTTAATGGTTTGCATGTTACTTTGTGTTCCCCAGAAGGTAGATTTCTCCAGAAATCTCCCATGCTGCCTCTTTAGTGGATGGTGGTAGGTATTTAGGAGAAGGGTGGAGTGGCTGAATGAAAAAAAAAGCACCAGCTACTTGGAAGGCCGAGGCGGGAGGATCACCAGAACCCAGCAGGTCGAGGTTGCGGTGGCCGGGAGCGGCCACTGCACTCCAGTCTGGGCGACGGAGTGAGACTCCAACTCAAAAAAAAAAAAAAAAAAGCAAAAAAAAGCAGACTTAAAGGTCTGTTGTTGATATGGCCACCATTGGGGCCATGGTAGGCTCAGTGCCGACCCCCACAGAAATGTCCACATCTTAAGCTCTGCAACCTGTGAAGGTCACCTCACATGGCAGAGACTTTGCAGATGTCATTAAGGGTCTTGAGATACGAGATCATCCTGGATTTTCTGGGTAAGTGCTAACTTGCATCACAAGTGTCCTTCTAAGAAGAAGGCAAGGACAGAATTGTCACTGGAAGAGGAGAGGGGAGTGTGATGATCAAGGAGACAGAGATCGGGGTGATATGGTCACAAGCCAAGGAATGTCACAGCCGTCAGAAGTGGCAGGGAACTGGGAAGGGATTCTTCCCTTGGGTCTCTGGAGGGAGCACATGCCTCAGCCAACACCTTGATGTGGACCTAGTGATACTAATTTCAGACTTCTGGCCTCCAGAACTGTAAGGGAATACATGTCTGTTGTTTTACGCTACCCAGTCAGTGGTGATTTGTTACAGCAGCTGTAAGAAACAAATGCAGGGTCATCCCCCCAGTGCATAAACGAGTAAGTCTTAGGACAGATTGGGTGGAGGAAGAGGGCGGAAGGGAAGATAATTTGTTGGCCAGTTCCAGCCTCTGATGGGTAAATGGTTCTCCTCATGGGTCATGAATGCTCCTTTCTTTGCTCCTCTTACCCCCAGGTGGAGCATGGTTGCACACTGAGTCTTGCTGGCCTGTCTCCTGCTTCAGGAGGGATGAGAATTCTCAGGTGGGAGGATCCAGGCCAGTCAAGGGCCCCAAGGAGAGGCTTCTTTGCACTGTGCCCTGTGAAGTCTACTGGACAAGCAGTTAGTGGCCCTGGGCAGTGTGGCCAAGTTGACACCTGAGAGGTGGCTAGAAGGGAGGCCTGAGATAACCATCTTGCTTATTTGTGCCACAATGCCACAAGGCAGTGGGCTGTGACAGCCTCAACTGGTACCCATCCTCCATTTTTTTTTTGAGTCAGAATCTCACTCTGTCATCCACGCTGGAGTGCAGTGGCACGATCGCAGCTCACGACAGCCTCGCAATCTCCTGGGCTTGGGCGATCCTTCTGCTTCAGCCTCCTAAGCAGCTGGGACTACAGGTGCATACCACCACACCGGGCAAATTTTTACATTTTTTGTAAAGACGTGGTCTCACTATGTTGCCCGGGCTAGTCTCGAATTCGTGGGCTCAGGCAATCCTCTCGCCTCAGCCTCCCAAGGCATGAGGTTCACAGGTGTGAGCCACCGTGCCCTGCCCTCATTTTCTACTCTTGAATATGGCTAGGTTTTGGGACCGGTTGCACTTCAGGGGTCCCTGACATCTTCCAGTGCAGTAACTGAAATCTCTTCCTTCACTAAAGTGAAAATTTGACTTCCTGTAGCTCTCTGTGTTGGACTCTAGTTTTTAGTTTTTTCTTTAGAGATAGGCTCTAGCTCGGTAACCCAGGCATGAGTACAGTGGTGCCATCATGGCTCACTGCAGCCTCAAATTCTTAGAGTCAAGCCATCCTCCTGCTTCAACCTCCCGATTAGCTGGTACTACAGGTATGCACCACCATGCCTGGCTAATTTAAAATTTTTTTTTGTAGCATCAGGTTCTTGCTATGTTGTCCAGGCCGGTCTCAAACTCCTGGCCTCCAGCAGTCCTTCCCCCTCAGTTTCCCAAAGCACTGGGATTATAGTACTTTTACTTCTTTTTGTACATAAAACAAGGCTCATTCTTCTCTTTTTGTTTTTTGAGTTGGAGTCTTACTCTGTCGCCAGACTGGAGTGCAGTGGCCACTCCCGGCCACCGCAGCTTCGACCTGCTGGGCTCCGGTGATCCTTCCGTCTCAGCCTTCCAAGTAGCTGGAACTGCAGGTGTGTGCTACCACGTCTGGCTAATTTTTGATTTATTGTAGAGATGAGGTCTTGCCAATTTGCCTGGGTGGGTCTCGAACCCGTGGGCTCAGGCGATCCACTCACCTTGGCCTCCCAAAGTGCTGGGATTACAGGCAGAGCCACCGAGGCCAGCCAATAAGGCTTATTCTTATACATGAAAGCTGTCCCCAAATACTTAAAGATATTTTTATCCTTTTTTTTTTCTTCCAGGCAAAACCCTCCCCAGTTTTTTCACTTTGGCTTTGTGGAGTTTTCTTTTTGTGGCTGATGGGTGTGCCAGCCCCTGCCTTACGTTAGGCTGCAGTTTGTCTTCCTCTCACCTTGTGGGGCAACTCACAGAATAACCAGAGCTTCAGGTATGGTCTGCTCAAGCACGCAGGACTTTTGCTTCACTGATGAAGCCAGAGAGTGATTGTGCTTTCTTTTATTTTTTCGGCAAGTACATACATTTTTAGTTATTCTACACTTGGTGTTGATTAAAATGTTCTCTTCTTACACTTGAATACAGATGACTCTATGGAAGACCATAGTCCAAAAAGCACCCAAGGAGCCAGAAATAATTCATTCATTTGTGCATGGTATCACTGAAGTTAGAGACCAAAATGCCATCCCACATCAGGGCACATAAATCCCACCGTTTTATGCTGAATAGAGGTCAGTAGGCGATTCTCAGAGGTGGTTACCAATCAGCCATGCCAGGTGGGGGAGTGTTCTCAACCAACCCTCCCTACTGCCATCCCTCCTCACCCCCCAAAACCTCCACACTTCTGGAGCACCTTCCAGAGGTGGATTTACCCAGGTGGGAATGTTTTGTTTCACATCCCCGCTGTCAGCACTGATTTGGATTCTGTTCCTGGTCTAATCCACATCCCCTGGGTCTTCTGCAAGAGGAAGACCCATTGGCACAGGCTGAAAAAGCCCGAGTGGGCAGGCACTGTGCATTTGCTGTCTCTCTTCTTCCCAGCAACCTACAAGGTAGGTCCTGCTGTCTTCATTTTACAGAGAAGGACATCGGGGCTTGGCAGTTCAGACGTTCTGTGGCACCAGGTGTAGCCACAATGAAAGCGAAGGGGAGGGGAAGGGGCCTTGGGTCCCTGCAGATGGCCTGCGCCTGAAGCTGACACTTCTGGACCCCTGAAGGAGCCGGGCAGCACATGCTTGATCCTGCATGGCGGTGACTTGGTGACTAGGCCTCCTGGAGTCATGATGTCAGGATGGTCTCAGCTTCTATTCACCACGAGCTTTTCAGGTCTCTTAGGCAAAGCTGGGGCCAGGATGAGAAAACAGAGGCTACCCATGAGTGAGTGGCAGAGTCTGAATCAGAGGCCTCGGTGTCTCATTCCCCCATGGCACGTGTGCTTCCTCCAGGCTGTCTGCCCAGACTGAGGTGGTCTTGATCTCTGAGGTGGGATGATATTGTATAGAGTGTCATCCACCATTTGACCTCTCTATTTTTCTTTTCTCTTCTGCCTGCGCGTGACTTTGTGGGGGGGGCATGACAGCAGAACATAAGTCTTCTCCTGGTTGTGGTGGAGTCTTTAGGGCAAACCCCTCAGTCCGTGGCCAGATGCCTCCAGACCTGTGACTCTGTGAGACTCAGGCCATAGTCCATTGTGGCTGCTGCTTTTAATTCTAGCTTATCCCAGCTCGGGAGGCATGAGTTGCCAAGGTACATGGTGGCCTGCTGGAAAGATCGAAAAAGCTTGGCTCCTTGCTTGCGTCTTTGTGCACTCTACCAGATATTTTTGCTATGTCCGGTAATAGATGTCTCTTTGGTCAACCTTCTATTGTTGGGTTTTTTCCTTCCTTCCTTTCTTCCTCCTTCACTCTATTGCTCAGGTTGGAGTGCAGTGGCACAGGTCACTACAGCCTCAAACTCTAGGCATGTGCCACCACATCCAGCTAATTATTATTATTATTATTTTTAGAGGCAATCTTACTATGCTGCCCAGGTTGGTCTTGAACTCCTGGCCTCAAGCAATTCTCTGCCTTAGCCTCCCAGAGTGTTGGGATTCTAGGCATGGGCCACCACCAACGTTTCTGTTCTATTCATCCACCCGTAAGCCTTTCCTAATACATTGTTTTGCTTTTTTAACCATCCCAGGTCTTTAGGGGAACAGAGAGGCCTTAGGGCCCAGCAGAAGCTTTGCACCTTGGGCAATAGACAAGTTGGTAGGGAATTGTTGGCTATGATGGTGGGGGAGGGTCTATAGAGAAGGAGCCCTGTCTCTGTTCTCCAGACACCAGGAAGGGGCCGGGTGGGAGGAACAAGGGTGTGTCCAAGAAGAACTGAGGCCTGAGAACCAGGTGGAGGGATTGAGTGACATCCCAGAGGTTGCCTGAACTGATGCCTGTTGTGGCAGACTGCTGCCGCCTTACCAAATCTTAGCACTTGGGAATCCCCAGACTTAGCTAGGACTTAGGGGAATTGATTGAGTTTCTGTCACCCTTGAAGAAGGAGGCTTCGAAATAGAAATTAAATTATAATAGAAGAGTATTTTTCGCACACTGAGTTTGTGGACT